GAGCAGATATCGTAAGACTTTTTTCTTCTGCGGCTGCCTTTCATTTTATTTTATTTTGTATTGTTTTGTTGTGTGTGAAATGTTTTTTTAATGAAATGAATAAAAATTTGACTTGACTTGAATTGAGTAAATAATAATTTGCCAACTAACAACACAATGAATTCATCAATACTCATKCAACATCTTTGTTCATATTAAATTTATTTATCGACTAAAAAAGGTTATCCAAATATGCATGAAAAGCTTAAATAATTATGAAGTTTTTGTACCGACACAACAGCATGATYAAACTGTTCCAGTAAATCCTTCAGTCTATTAAGACACTCTTATGTTGACTGTGGTCGTTGGATCAGTTTGACCTCTCTCTCCTGCTCTGCTGCAGGTAAGTGCAGTCATGGAGGTGATGACGATCGCACCAGCACCGTCGTCCCACGAGGAGGCATCAGCAAAGACGAGCGCCGCTCAGACAATGTGGCTCTMCATGAAGCTGCTGTAAAAACAGCCACAGCTGCCAGCCTCCAGCTGTTGGAGGACATCCGCTCAGCTGCAGGGGACAATGACTTTCTAAGGTACAACAAGAAGATAATAAAAGTTTATACTTATACAAATCTGATAAGTAAGTATGTTCTTCCGTCGCACAGGATGATGGGGATTGCTCGCTCAGCTGTGGTGTGCTTTGTGATTGACACCACAGGCAGTATGTCAGTTGACATAAAAGAAGCTATATCAGTGTCTGATGAAATCATTGACAGCAAACAGGGAACACCTGACGAACCATCAGAGTATATCCTTGTGCCTTTCAATGACCCAGGTATGAACAATTCTAATTTCCCAATAAATGCTTATATGTCTTTTGGAGGGATACAGATWGGTCCATATGGACACTGACACAAATTTGGTCTTTTTACCTGATTACGGAAACATATTCAAGTTATAGTTATATAATGTACATGGGCATAAAGTCCAGACATTCAGCTTTCATTTGAGRGTATCCACATTAAAACTGGATGAAGAGTTTAGGAGTTTCAACCACACCAGTTGAAAATATAAACAATTCTTGTAATTTTGGTCCCCAGTCGAACTGAGTCTACCGGACTATCAGGTGAGAATACAACCTTAGTTTTTGTGCTTAACCTTTTTTATGACTGCAGATTTTGGACCTCTGATCAGGACCACTGACTCTGAAAAAATGAAAACAGAACTGTCTAAGCTCACAGCAAATGGTGGTGGAGATGAACCAGAGATGTGCCTGTCAGGACTTCAGGTACTACAAAAGAGCTCTGACATGTTTAATATATAAGTTGAAATCTTTTGCAGGAGTTTGTCAAAGAAACTGAGAAAATGGATTGACTTAATTTTTTTAATTTTCCAGGTGGCTCTCACTGGTGCACCCTCCTCATCTCAAATCTTTGTTTTCACTGATGCTACAGCTAAAGAC